TGGTTTCAAAAATACCTTTTTAATCACAAAATAATTCACACCGCAATTGCAGCAATCTGCATTGCGATGATCACAATTGTAATAAGTGTGACTGCAATCACGACTGCAACCGCAATTTAAAACACTGGTACTTAGGTGGGAATTTTAAGCTGATTTGCTAGGAGATATAACACTACTCAAATGAGTATTCACTCTTAATTTTATTTTATATATTAAATTCATTGTTTCCAATACAAAGTTGCTGGGCTAACCAAAGCCTTTTATAATTGATGTTTAATAATTTGAGAAATGGTAATAACATACTTTTCTCCATTAACACACTATTGTGTAGATTTTTTGTAGAACCGTAGAACCCACAAAATCACATGCTTCGCTATCCATTTAGTGGGTTCTACAAGAACTCCTGTCGAGAACAGAGGGCTTATTGAAGAGAAAATAATATGTTGCTGGCATTCCTCTAGTAATTATAGTTGTGCACATTTTTTCTGTGGACATTTTTCAATTAAAATGATGCAAGAAGCGTAAGCTAGCAATGGTTATTTGTGATTAAGTAATTTGGAAATGTTTGAGATCAGAAAAAGATTTGGGATGGACCATCCTAATCCAGCTTCAAAATCAAAGGCTAGAAGGAGCTATTTCTTCCCAGGAGTCCAGGACATAGTCCAAATGAGTGTGAAGTGAATTCCTAAATTTTTTTATATGATCTATTCAGTTTCTTCCTTCCTTAGTAGTTACAGGATAATCCATAAAAGTGGAGAATCTAATTTCTTATTTTTATTTTAAATATATAAGCTTTGGGTTTTTCTAATTTACTACATAATATTAAAACTTTTCACTATTTTTAAAGAAAGAATGCAAGGCAAAATAGTTCATGAATTTTGACCTGTGTTTGTTTGCATCATTTATAAATGGTAGTATTCATTTCAAACTTGCTCTGTATCCTATAAAATGCAGTTGTGTATTTTTAAGAAAATGGGAAATTGTTGTAGGTTGCTCTTAACATAGACGTTGCTGGTTTACTTTATGTTTTAAATTTTTTCTTTGTTGATAGAATTCTGGTCACTATCACTAGTGTGTCTGTTAAATTAATGATGGATGAAGAGTAGGATCATTTAACAGAGATATAATTGTACTGTATGTGACTTCCTTTTGTATAGTTTATTAACTCATGTTGTGTAAAGGGATTGCCTTAAAGTTTATCATCCAGTTTGTGTGGGAGAAGAAGATTCCTTTTTGGAGGCTGACACTTATTGGTGTTGTGGTAAGCTGCTTCTATCTACCTCTCTACCATTTTGTATGGTATTCAAATATGATTTCCTATCACTTTTAGCATTTTACCTTTTATGCATTTGGACTCGGTACCACCGCTACGAGATGTGATTGCCCATTTTGTATGTTCCCGGGAAATATGTGCAGTTTCCCCTTCACACTCACATTATTTACCATCCAAACCTGCATATCTTGAATTTCTCCCGGATACTTAAAAAAGTTGGTGTTGATAAGTCTTTAACTGTTAGATTTCATGTGTGGTGTATTTTTAGAACTCCATGCTGAAATTGAAGCATTGGAAAAGACTTTAGGACAAGCATTGTTTGTCATGCTGACATGCATTTTTTATTTCCTTCGTCTTTCTTGTTTAAGAGATTATGCCTAAATGTTTGTTGATCCTTTTGATGCTAAATGTATTTTGCTCAACTCTTTTTGTAGCTTCACATTATTGCTTCCGTTGCCGTAGAGCCTCGAAGTTTAGGTGCATTTGCTGTCCAACAGCTGTTTGTGGGCGCTGCTTAGGTTATACTGAATTTTCTATTGTCAAAAGGGACAAAGGATTTTGCAGCCACTGCTCAAAACTTGCACGACTAATTGAAGAAAATGCTGATGTTGATTCTGATGGGGTAAGATTGTTTTCAATCATATATTATATGCAGCAACAGAAGAAGGTAAAAACCTGTAATAGTATTTTGAATCTTAAATTTAAAAGCAAAATAACAAAATGCTATCTATCTACCGTTATGTATATTTACGTATTGGTAATTGTTAACATGAGTTACCGAAGTCAGCATCTTGTGATGCTGAGCAATAATAGTACAGAGGCACTTGTTCTCTATGTTTTAACTTTTAGTTCAAAACATCTTTGAAGTGTTATCATTTTAACATTTTTTTTAAATGAAGTCCTATTTATTATTTTAAAATAAGAAACATAGAAACACATTCTTAAACAGGTTCAACCTGGTTATTTCTTTAAAAGGAGAAAATTGTTTTGAAATCATAAACCAAACTGCCACTAAATATTTTACCTTCATATGACTTGTATTGTCTGAACTGAGAATCTGAGATTTAGCAAATAAAATCTTAGCATTTCTAGAAAAGAGTCAAACCGTGGTCAAATTTTAACTAAGAAAGCATAATGGGTGTAAAATATAGTTTTTGAATTTTTATGCTTAATGGATTCTGATGTATGGAAAGTTTCATATGACTGAATTAAATTTCAATGTAAACCTAGTTGTAGAAGTTTACCTAACCCAAATTAATATTTTCACTTTGAGCTTAAGCTTAATCTTATTTATTTGAATAGTTGGATTTGAGAAGGGAAAAGTTATCTCTTGGTCTGAGACCTATAGAAAAATTTCTTTCCTGTTTATTTCTGTTAATTCTGACATTTTTTATCAACAGGGAAAGATCGATTTCAAAGATTCAAATACATATGAATGTTATTTTTTAGAATATTATGAAGCTATGAAAATAAAAGAAGGGCTGAATTCTTCACATGTACATTCCGCGCATAACTTCTTGAAGAATGGTAAAAACAAGAGTAACTTGGATCTAGCTAGAATAGGTGAAGGGGAAGATGATAGTGGAGAATCTGAAAACGGGAGTGACTATATAGTTTCTGATTATGATGACATGAATGATACAGCAGGAGTTAAATCAAAGAAGAAAAAGCAGAGATGCAAAAAGCAACTAAAATCAACAAAAGGAAATGTGAGAGATAAGAAAAAGGAGTTTATTGGATGGGGTTCAAGAAGTCTCATAGAATTTCTTAATTATGTTGGTAGAGACACAGGTGAAGAATATTCTGAACATGAAGTTGCTTCGATCATTATTGAGTACTGCAAAGTAAACAACCTCTTTGACTCCAAGAAAAAGAGGAAGGTGCTTTGTGATGCAAAACTGAGTTCTTTACTCGGGAGGAAATCAGTGAATAGGAACAACATACAAAACCTTCTGGCACATCATTTTGCTGAGAATGTGGAGGAATCTGATGATATCACTAGTAGTTCAGAAAATGGGGATGATAATGGGCCATTCAAATGTTCGAGCAAGGGGAAATTGTTAAGTACGAAATCTCTTCAGAACCTAGTTCCTGAAGAGCGTAAAATCAGTTTTGCAGCCATAGTTAGTTCAAATATCAAGCTTGTATATTTAAAGAGGAGTTTAGTGGAGGGTCTTTTCAAACAACCAGAAACTTTTAATGCCAAAGTAATGGGAAGTTTTGTAAGAGTCAAGTCTGACCCGAATGATTATTTACAGAAGAATTCCTATCTGCTCGTGCAGGTTGTAGGTAATTTTATGTAATATTCTTCAGTAGCTTATGTAATATCCAATGCACATATCTGGATAAGAAAAGTGAATTTTGAAATCTAAAGCTTTGACAAGTGTATGTTCTTTGGTGGCACATTACTGCAGGCATTAAATTAAATTTGGATCAACATGATTGTTGTTCTTTCACTGGTGACCATACTTTTCCTTTATGTATACATTGAAATTTATATCCCTGCACCAATGACAGGAATAAACAGGTCGTCAAAGAATAACAAAATCAACACGGAAGTTCTGTTTCAGCTTTCCTACATGCCAAAAGATGTACCTATCTGCAAAATTTCCGATGATGACTTTACTGAGGTAATAATGCTGTTATAACAGGATTTTCTGCTGCAATTGTCCTTGTCTCTAGAGATATTGGAGCAAAATAATTAACAATTGTTAAGTAGCATTTGATAGTTTGCATTTTGTAAACCATTTTTTTTTCTGTTAAGTACTTAAGTGTGGGTTTTACCATATTGATTTCTTGCCAAAGAACCTAAATGGGTTTCTCTGAGATGATTGTAGGTTATACTCATCAGAGTTCATTGTTTGTTATATCAAACATATGAATTGCTTATGCATAATCGTGAAGAAAATAATGCCTTGCTTAGTCGCTGCATGGCCTACACTGTGAACTCATAATTATAACATTTGCCATTATCTGCAGGAAGAATGTCAAGATCTCTATCAGAGAATGAAAAATGGTCTGCTCAAACAGCCTACCATAGTAAGTTTTTTGTGTATGAGTAATATAGTGTGTTCCATAAAAAGATTTATGTGGTTCAAATTGGATATGATGTAAATCATGGACAAGGGGCATTAATACCAAAAGCTTTCTGATAAATAGTAGCATGTTATGCATTTATGGCCATATATAGATGTATGTGTTCAGTTCTAGTTTCAGGTTAGGGTCTTTAAACCTTCTTTTTCAACCATTTTATGTCACACTAAATGTGTAGCCTTTCTATTGTGGTGTGAGCATTATGGATCTTCTTTGTAAGATTGAATTGTCGTAACTATGTGTGTGTTTAACAGCTGGAGCTTGAACAGAAAGCAAGAAGTCTGCATGAAGATATAATAAAGCATGTATGTATAATTATCAATATTTTTATCTTGTCTAAATCCTTTTTTTCTATTATGCAGTATTCAATATAATTCAAACTGAAGTTTCGTGTAGTTGATCAATATAACACGACGATGCATTCTTGTAAAGGAGATGGCAAAAGATGCAATGTATAATTTAAAATGAAGAAGTAAATAGTCAAAAAATATAATATAAGAATAAAATTTAGAATAGTATAATTTAGAAACCTATGCCTAACAAGAAATATGAAATTTGGCCTTTGAATTATCACTATAATATTCCATGCCTGATGCCTCTTTTATTCAATGGCATGTTAACTTTATTTTAACCCATGATTCTTTTAGATTATAAAAGAATCTCGTACAGTCATACCTATCATACTGATATTTGTCTCTCTTTGCATTATGTGACAGTGGATTCCGAGGGAGTTGGCACTGTTACAAAATCGCATTGATATGGCCAACGAAAAGGGGCGGAGGAGAGAATATCCTTGCATGATTTAGATTTTTAGATTAGTAGATAAAGGCCAATCAGTTCTGAATTGTTACTCAATTAATGCTTGATCAGGTATGGTTAGCTGTTAATAACTTCCAAATGGGAGAGAGGAGTCATAGACTATCAGCTCAAAGCTCATACTATTGTTTTAATATTTTTATATATTGTTTTGTATTTCTCTCTTAGTTGAATTGTATGGTATCTAGTGAATATTCATTTTTAGCCTTAACCATATTTTCATACACTTGCTGAGTACATAGAGCGAAAACTGAAGCTTCAGACTGCATCAGAACAATCGCGTTTATTAAGTGATATTCCAAATGTAATTCCTGAAATAGTTGATAGCAAACTATCACCGAAGAATTCCCCGAGAAATGATAGGCTTGAGAGAAATGGGTTGCCAGAATTAGCCATGGGAAAGACTTCTAACTCTGTTGGACGCTATCCCAAGCATAACGCTTTTGCTTGTTGGCCTCATAATACAACAGATATTGCAGGTTTGCTTGACTCTCCTGGTTGTTTTTTTATCTCTGTTGTGTCCTTCTAACTTCTGCTTTTATTTCTTTTGTAAATTTGTTTCTGTATATAGAGTTCTTGATGTTGCTAATGTCTTGTGCATTATTATTCACATTCATGCTTAGTCATTTCATGTCCTCTACAATTTTGAGTAATTTTCTGCTTTAATCAGTAAATGCCATGTTTTGCTCAGACTGGATTAAATGTGTCTTCTGTGATATTTGTATTAGATTCTATTAGATCTACATGCCTCTCACCATCAACAGTGATGTGATTCTTGCTTGCTTCCATTTTGTTTCTTGAAGTTTCTTGTGCTTGGAATAATTTATGTGCACTAATGTAGCCAATGTCTATGACCAAGTATTTATGAAATGTTACCTGCAATATCATTTGTGTTAATTTTCAAGACTTAGGTCCAAAAACTAGCGTAAAGAGAGACCGAGACTCTCCTCCTGCCTCGGCTGAAAAATTGTTTGCGCCTCCTGTTTCCCAAGATAAAGGCACTCTTCAATCTACAACAAATGAAATGCAACATGATCCCAAGGCTACACTGTCTGAAGAAAGAAGCTTGAACTCTCAGACCTCAAATAACGGCTTGCATTGTCCTAGGAACACAAGATCTAGATCTGGTATAAATGGCAGAAAACTGAAGACCGTGAATACTAAAAAGCAAATTGAGGAAAAGCAAAGCCTTTCAGTTTCTGACCCTGTTGAGGCAAGTGCCAATGACAAACAACAGGATGCAAGCATCTCAGATATTCCAATCGGCGAAAAGCTGGTTAACATTTCAACCAAAGATGCTATCGAGTTAAGCGATACTGATGAACGAGATGAAAGTATTGCAGACACTTCAGCAGGAAGAAAGGTAGTGGAGGATCCTGAGAGTCCGGTTTGGAATTGTTTAGGTCCTTTTGGTGAAAGAAGTGGACCGTATTCATTGTCTGTACTACGACGTTGGATTGGAACTGCTTCTTATCACTTAGAATTCAAGGTTTGGAAGACAGGACAGAGTGAAGCACAAGCAATACTTCTTACTGATGCTCTTAGCCAAAGTTTCCCCAGTATGTAGGTAAATATGTAAATGAAAGGAAAACATTTCCTTAAGTAAATCATCTGTGTTAATATATGGTTTGAATACTTGACATTGAACTGGTAAGTGTTTGTGTGGAAGTTGCAAGTGTAGTAGTTTATTTTAATGGGGTTTCCTAATACTGATGGTCTTAAGAAGAAAAATTCATAATTGAGGCAACATATATGAGTAACTTTGGCCCTCATTGTTCCTTCAATATATATGAGACAACATGCATCCCGGTTCAAAATAATATGATTACATAATGATTCATAAAAAGAAACAGAAGATAGATTGTGGTACTCAACAGCATCAACATATTCAAATAATGATGATGTTAAATTATCCTAGATTTGGAGGGTGCAAAAATCATATCATATCAAATGATTTTACAAAATTATGTGTTGCATTATTCATAATAGTTTGGGGACTTTGAGTATTTTTTCTAACATTGTAGAAAATTCTTCTATTGACTGCTGCTTGCAGCATTTTCTTTCCTAAAAGCTTGTAGTTGTTCCTTAAATTTCTTACTCTCTTCAAAGTTGGCCTTTCGCTTCAAAGCTTTCTGTTGGGACACAATGAAAGAGTATATCAAAACAAAGAGATCCTTAAAAAATCAAAGGGGAAAGAAAAGGAAATACTCACTTCTTGTCTGAAACATCTGTCCAACTTAATTTTCAAATCTGTACAATCACCAAAGAATTTCCTAATAGGATGTTCAATGTGACACTTTTGGAACTCCTCAATAATCTGCAGAAAAGAAAAGTCTGCAATTCAAGGAGGCTATAATATATACTAATACACAGGTGAAATTGATTACATTGATCAAATGACGTCATAATGCTCAATCATAAATCATGTTCATTAACAAAACATTGATCTCTAAATATTTCTTAATTGTTTCGCCTATGGTTTTTCTTGACATTCATCTTCCTCTAGAAATTGGACTAACCTCCATTTGACTTATTCTCTTTAATGGTCTCCTACACACATGTCCAAACCACCTAAGGGCAATTCTACCATCCTTTCTACAATAGGAGTTATTCCAACTTTCTCCCTGATGCATTTATTTCTAATCATATATTGTTTAGTGTGTGTACTCATTCGTTGTAACATTTTCATCTCTGCTGCATGGAGTTTATTATCTTTCTGACATTTTATTGTTCAAGATTTTGTCTCATAACATTGTAGGTCTTATTATTGTGCATTAAAACTTCCTATTGAGCTTGAGTGACACATTTCTATCACATATGACACCTGAAGCACACTGTCATTTCATTCACCCTGCTTGAATCCTATAGTTTACATCTCCATCAATTTTCCTATATGTTTGACTCATGATACTTAAATCTAATGACTTGTGATATGATATGATCTCCAATTTTTACCCTTAAATCGAGGTTTGACCACATCTTGCTAAACTTGTACTCCATATACTCCGATGTAAACCGTTTTGATACAAGGTACACACTGCCAAAAATATGGTTTCTAGCAACCACAAGTTATCATCATTATTTGCAAGACAGATGATGATAACATTCAGCAGCAAATGAAAAGAGAAATGATCTGAAATTCTAATTAGAATCATGAGCAAACATATGAGCAACTTTGGCTTCTCTTCCTGAGTTTACTATGAAACGAAAAAGCAAGGGAACCCTACTTGAAGATTGCCAGCATAAATCACCCTTGGCAATACTTTTTTGCAGTATTAATAATACCGTACCAGTCATTAAACCGGTAGAGGTACAGGTATAGTGGTATAATGGTATAGCGGTTCAACCGGTGGTTCACTAATTAAACCGCATACTGGTGAAGTTAGATATACATATATAATATATTAAGATTAATGTTGAAAAATTAATAAAAAAAACAATAAATTTTTTATTTTCATGAAAAAATTAATTTTAAATAAAAATCGACCGGTTTGACCGCTACGGTTCAATTGAAAACAGGTCGGTTTTGACCGGTATAATTTTTGTACCGTACCGGTATTGGGACTGGTTCACCGGTTGAACCGGCCTGCACGAACCGGTTTTTACAACTATGCTTTTTTTGTAGCATAAGCTGCATTCCTTTGTTCCATAATGGACTTCAAATAGACATTAGACCAGTCAAGTTTAGGAATTAGGATCAAAATATGCTACAACTAGCCATTACCCAACAGCATATGAATGGAAATATATCAAATTAAACATATGCATCAAGCATACTAATAGTACAATACACAAACACATCCAATCTCATCATTAATCCATAATGGTTCACAGGCTACACCTGTGACTCATGCAATAGCTGCCTGAATCATGATATGATACATGTAAAGGATGAAGTTTCATGCTTAGCTATCACACCATAAGAAATTTTTTTAAACAATAACTAAACCAAAGGGGTCTCAAGTGCATAAAAATGGTGGTGATCAAGTATAATACTTAATTTAACCACAAATTTAAGCTAATTAAGCACATTTAATATCATTTTTCCGGCTTAGAGACATCAAAGCTAATCAAATTTAAGGCTTTTACTATAAACCAAAAGCTATGACAGTTTTTTCAGGGTAAAAAGCTTTTAGGGGGTTGGGTTATAACCGATAAGTAATGAAAGTTATGGTCCGCTTGCTAGTTGAGTTTCGAATAAGGAAGAATGGAAAATGAAGGTTTTAGAGTCATTTCAGAAGTGTATTTCACTTTCTTCTTTTCCGACCAAAATTCAACTCGCAGACAGACTCGGTAAATTGCACTTAGCCAAACATTAAAAAAGGGTTGATTAAAAGAAACTTACTTCAGCACACATTGGGTGTTTGTGTAATGTTAAAGGAGGATGCATATTTCCAACACAAAATCACGCTGCACCACTCCAACAGCACCGAACTGAGTGATACAAAGTTCAAACAGAAAAAATTAAAACGACCCAAATGAAATCCATTGCAAAAGAATACAACTTTAAAATCCAATAAAACTTATGAAGACATTAGAATATAAGGGAAAGAGGAAGAAAAACTAAAACGGAATGGAAAAGCAAAATAACAGAAGAGAACAAAAACGGAATTGAAGTCAAAAAAATCAAATTTTGCGTACCCTAATTGAGTAATTAGTGGGATTCGATGGCTCAAATAAAAATCCCCAAAAGTGGCGTGCCGTGTGTTTCTGTTGGGGAAGATGAACGAATGAAGGGTAGTGGCTAAACGTGTGAAATTGTCACATTTTTTATTTTTTATTTTTAAAATTAAAAAATATGGTTTTTAATTTAAAAAAAAAATAACTGTTTTGAAATTAAATGTTGCTGCACTAATAAGTTTTTTATCATTACTTTATCAATAATCATCATTTATTATAAATTAATATAGTACCGTTAAAAGTTTGGTTGTTTTTATAATAAATTATTTTAAAAATCCTTAAAATTGTCATTTCAACTCAAATATGTCAAATGCAATTTTTCAAAAAAAATATTATTTCAAAGTCTATCAACAACAACATGATATAAACAATTTAAGAATTTTGGATAGGGGTTACCATAATGACTAAATTGAAATTATAAAATTATAACATTGTGTTATATGGTTTTTTGTCAGAAATTAGAAGATAGTAATAACAAAATAGAAAAGCATTAATTATACCATAGTAGAGTAATTATTTTGAGTTTTCACTTTATTAATAGTATATATAATAGTATATATATATAGATATTAAACTCTTCTCATTTCTTTTATAAATAGCATAAAATTTTATATTGTTTAAATAATTGTAAACTTCAAATAACACTTAATAATTTTTAAATAATCTTATATAAAAAGGGGAGAGATCACATCAC